ACAACGATTGAATGGCGCAGTTCTTCTTCTCGCGGCGGCCCTCCAGCGGCACATTTGGCCAGTGTGCTTATTGCGCTGCGTACATTCTCTCCTCGGCGTTGGTTCGGCCGCTACCCGGAAGAAGACAGCTGACGTTTGGAAGCCGCCAACTCTCAAACCTGCTGACTTCTTGGACCTACCTGCCAAAGGAAATGTATGATTTCCCTTTGCCCGAGTGAGTCTGAGGAGCAGGCCAGGTTTTGCGAGGGGTGGGCTTGATATACATGGACGCTCTCAGGAGGAGGAGGAGGAGGATTGGTTTGGCCACTGTTGGTGGGGTGAGCGCTCGGATTTTCTGCAACAAGGTGGACGAGCTGGATGACCTCTCCACGGCATGTGCACGGAGTCGGAGGCCGGGTGCGCAGCTGATGTCAACAGAACGTTTGCTGGTGTCATGTCAGGCGCCCTCCGACGGTGACTGATCCTTCACCAGTGAATCTGTAGAAATGGGCTCGGTCTTTGCTCATATATACTGCTTGTAATTTCGCGCGCATCAATTTGATGGCTTCCGGTGAAGGTGATTGTGAACAAAGTCGCGTTTCACGAGAAGAGTGAAAGGGGCTAGCGGCTAGACTGATCGAGGATAAACCTTGCCAAGCAATGTAGCGTCGAGCTCCTAGTACAACAGCAGCATGAATCCCCGTAGCTTGCAGGGAGTCACCTTTGAAGAAAGGGAACCATCAAAGGTGGGATTAAATCTCCTCACGTGACTATACTCAAGGAAAATGCCTGCACCATTCAGCTGCTTTGCTGTGCTGGGGCATCACTGGCGCTCATCCTATTTAAGCCTTTTCGTTGATGCTAACAACCAGTAGGGAACCCTCCCACAACTCTTGAGCGAGTTTCGATCAAAGGGAACAGTTTGGAACTGCTGAACCGAACCACACGAAAAATATATACCACCAGCCCTCAACCCGACATGGTGGCGCCGGTGCCACAAGGTTCGAGAGTTTCTTGCAAGTCCAAAGGGATAAGCGGGTGCCAAAGAAGCCGCTGGGCACCCCAGACGCGGCCGACCTCGAGTGCACACAAGGACCACATAGAATGCTTCTTAGAACCTTGCCACACAGCATGTTTGGACAAAAACGATGTGTTTTGGTTTCTTCAGAAGTCGATGACTCAACCAAAAATGGTTTGTGAGATGCCCCTGTTTGTATATACCATTGTTGAGTGTTTAGGTTTGGCAGTGAGCACATGGATGTTTTGTTGGTTGCGTATTTGGCAAAATCTGCAAGGTTGATGGTTCCCCTCATGTTGAAACACCCTGCAGCACCCTTAAAATCCGTGTTCATTCATGTGTTGTGAGGCCATGACTAATTACAGTAATTTTGTTGGTGGTTTTGATGTCATGATTTCAATTGGCCGCGGGCAAGTTCGATGTCGTTTGATTTTTCCTACGCAGTGCTCGGGCCGCCGGGCCTGTGGTTTCCGCTACTGGTTTCCGCTATAATGTGTGACTCAACAGGTTCCTCCTGTGTTTCTTACACGGATCATTTGAACCTCCTTGATTTTTTCGCACCACCCGGGAAAACCTTGCCAATGTTATGTGTTTTCTCAATTTGACTCAACGGTGCAAGCCCGGCAAACCTGCAGACATAGGACCCCAAACCAAAAAACTTGCAAACCGTTCCTGACAAAGGAAACCATGGGCTGATCTGGTTGTTGTCCGAAACCTTGGAAAACTACTGCCTGGTCAGAGTCCAGAGCGGACAGACACACCCCCACCAAAGACAACCGCATAAAGGCACACATGAACAACCCGGACTACATCGGACTACATTTATTTTCCCTAATAATTGATTGGAACCAATGACAATTGGGTATGTATTGAAACAGGGAGACCAACCAATGGGTTTTGATTTTTGTCCTTTTCCACAAGGTCAAACTGAAAGGTCGTTTCATCAAATCCACACTCATTTCGAGCCCAAACGGTCCAGGTTTCTCCGGACAGATCGACCATTGGCTCGGCCGCTGACAGCAGGGCCTCCGTTCGCAGGCCAGCTCAGACAAAAGCTACCTGTCATGGGTGAAGTGGTCATCTGGTTTATGAAGAGGCAGTTGCCTCTTTCTGCGCACCAGTTCTGGATTCAAGTTGTTTGCATGAAAGTCCAAATTAGGGTACGATTGGTTGCAGAAACAATGTATAGAGAGAGCCATGAATAGTGGTAGCATGTGGTGACACTCAAACACATTCCATGTCCATCCCTTTTGGACCTTTGCTAAGATCTTTGCATGTTCATCCCTTCCTTGAGCTATCTTTGCCACAATGGCCCAGTCCACCACCAACACAGCACCTGCCAGCACCTGCGACAAACATCAAACAGAGGCTTGATGGGTCCACCCCCCCCCCGCTGTGTCCAGTTGGACGCCGAATCCGCATCGCACGGGTCACGAGGCGACCACAAACGGCCACCATCGCAGGCAGTGATCAACGCGGAGGTGGACAGGTAACCAAAGCCATGGGATGGCTACCACACGTTGTAAGGAAACAGTGGTTGGTCTTCGGATGTCTTTTTTTTGTGTTTTTTTGCACCGAGGTGGTAATGTTTTGTTCTTTTGGACGTCTTGAGTGTTGAAGGTTGAAGATAATGATGCATCATCGTACATTTACACACTAACAGTGTGAGCGTCTATGTTTTTCTTTTTTTCAACACTGTTTGGTACCATGAAAAAAACTGTTTGGTACCATTGCGAAAATCATGATAGTACGCCATGGTGTCCTCAAGGATACTTCCCAAGTTGAGCATTTGCGTCATGCCTTTGACAACATGTGTTGTTAATGCTGCAGGTGACAACGCCTATCAATAAGCGCACACGGGAGGCCACTTCTATCCGCTTCTGTGCTGTGCACTGCAATGTTTGTTGTCCTGTGTACAGGACTGGTGTGTTGCTATTTTGGCTCTTGACAAATAAGTAGAACTCGATCTGAAGAACTGGCACTAGTCCAAGTCAGCTTCCAGCGCTTTATAATTGTTTTCTCGAGTGTGACTGAGACCCTGGCAATTGCCCAATTGTCTTCTAAATTTGCACTCATGTTTGAGCCACTGCAGACGAGAGTTCTTTGATGAAGGTTGCTATCACGTGAGCTTCCAAAGTTGCTTTGATGTAGTATCAATGGACAGTGTCATGGTCATGGTAGTTCTAATGGCATGAATCAAGAACTCTTATTGCGAAGATTGGTGGTAGTTGCGTCGCAGATGAGTGTTGGATTACTCTGTGCTCTCGCAAGAGGCGGCGTACGCAGATGATGCAGGCAGGCATGGCGAGAGAACACAAGCACCATTCTGAGGGCTGGGGGGGTGTTCTATATACTTTGAGGTGTTCGCTGGATGTATACTTCCTGAGGAAACTGTAGCTGGCAAGGCTAGGAGTTGGAGGAAAGGCATGGCAATGAGTCAGAGGCTTTTCAAGGTCAGACATGGGTGTGGAAGCCATGGTAGGTGCTCACACAAGGCATAGTCGGCAAGTTTGGGCGCCAGGAACACCTGCTCCCCTACCAATGCCGAGCCATCAGGCAGCGGGAAGCCGGTCGTTCGCTTGAAAGTGTCCTCGGCCTTTGAAGCTCAATCGCAGTTCTACATCGCTGAAGAGTCTTCATCCCTCACATCGAATCTGCCCCACTGAATCTGATGACATCGCCGCGGAAGTTTTAAAACACGCGACAGCCGACCGTTCATTTGCTCGTTCCGGTCCGCAGATTTCGGTGAAGAGTAGCATCAACACTGGGAACTTGGAGAAGACTTCACTGCAGGGGCCCCTGAGATTCGGACAGAAAAGGTGATCCTAAAAGACTTGTTGCTTATGTTTGTGAAAGGTGATTCAAAGATGGCAGATAACGTGAAATGATGATATGTGTAAATGTACTGTAATTAATCCTCAATGAGAGGCTGTTCCAAAGTATGGAGTCCAGATGAGTCCAGAGAAGGACCGTATCCAAGAGCCAAGATTATGTTTGTCCTTTTTCCTCACCCAGCATTGTGGATTGTCAGACTTGCTGTTTGGTTTAGGCCCCAAATGAATGCCAACACGATTCAACACGATTCAATATATCCTCTACAAGCGGAACTGAACGTGAAATTTTGTACATTATTTATATGTCATAGGATTCAGAACCTGATTTCTCGTAATTCCTCGATCCGAACCAGCCGAACTAAACATGATATGTATCGAATTCGTTTATACACATACACTGTACCTAGACCATCCATGCATGGACTATTTACCTACATTGTCCCCTTAACTTATGTCCTCTTTAAAGAACACGCACACCTTAACATCACCCCAAGTGATCGGCAAATATTCCAGTCCCATGAATTGTTGCTGGAGTCCAGAACTGTGCTTCATGGTGTGAAATGCCCTTGTGTGTGTGTGTGTCATTTGTTCTTTTTTTGTGTGCTTTTCGCGTCCTCAACGCGTCGTAGCGTTCACGCGCACCGCGTCTTCGTGAGGTCCCAGAGGTCCGAGGTGAAGCTTTTGGGCCCCTGTTTTTGGGCAGGTGTGCGGCGGCGTACGCGTGGCGTACGTGCGGTTCTACCGCGTGGCGTTGTGTTTTTACAGGGGGGGGTGGATGATACTGACTGACCAGAAAAGAAAAAATAGAAAAGCAATAGATGCCTATAGTGCTTTTACAGAGGACTGGGATGAATCTTTGCATTTCAGTTATTGCCTTCTTGGTGTGTGCGCTGTATTTTTGGTAGATACCCCCTATGAATGACTGACGACCGTCATGGCCGTTGTCCTTCATGACACCAAGGCCCGGGATGGGATGTTTAGGGAAGTATTGGAATCTCGCAGCTGGGAACGAGGGCGATGATCTTTCCAGACTACGGCCTCCTTCTTTGCAGATGGATACTAATACTCCGTAGCTAGTTCCGTAAGCCACAGATCACATGGGTATGACCAAAGCAGACCAAAGCGCCGGAGGGTGTTCTTTTATGTGTTTTCTTTTGCAGGGTGATCACAGGAGCCCTCTGGGCTCAGATCAGGACCGTCCTCGCCTGAGTGAGTTAAGATGTCCTGCTTTTGGCTATGAGCAGGCCATCTGGGCTCAGACGACCCAGACGACCTGCTCGAACTTCTGCATTTTCTGCAGCCCTCGCTCCTTCTCCTCAACTCAGATGGGTGACCCTTCTCCTTGGCACCCTTCTGTGCAGCCTTCTGTGCAGCGCCACTTGCGGAGGGTGGAGCTGCGCCTTTGGGAGGTGCGTGAAGTCTTCATCGCCTGTGAAGCCGTCGGTGAAGTCGGTGAAGGATGCGTTGAGCATCGTCCTGGTGACATCTCCGATCCCATCGAACCCTTCAACTCAGCTGCTGAACACCGTGATCAGCTCATTTGATTTGATTGAAGGCCTGGAAGGTTGCCCTCTCATCATGGTGGCGGATGGAATTAAGCTCCAAGAGGGGCGGCCCAAGTGGAATCAAGGCAAGATCAGTGAGGAGAGGTACCAACTGTATTTGGAATACGTGGATTCCCTTCGATCTCAATATGAGGACCACGCCTATCATCCAGCCAAAGTCATTGGGCCTTTAAAGAAGCGTGTGAACTTCGCTCATGCGCTACTTCGAGGCCTCGAAGAAGTTGAGACAGAACATGTTCTCGTGGTGCAACATGACCGTGTCTTTGCGGAACGTTTTTCCATGTCCGACGTCATCGAGCTGTTTCAGCAGTACCAAGAACTTCGCTACGTGGGCTTTCAGACAGTGCCAGATTATACCACCTACGCAGCAAGCAAGTTTGGGAAATGGGTTCGCTGTGCATTGCCCGAACCTGGATTGATCCCTTGCTTCATGTGGTATGATTCGACTCATGTTTGTCGAACCCGACAGCTAGCAAAACTCATTGAACAAGAAGTGAAGGAAGGAGAGTTCATCGAAAGCTCATACGGCTGTCGACTTCTTGCTACCTGTGAGGTGCTCAACACCTTTTTTGTTTGTTTAAACATATCATGAATATTCATGAATGAGCCACATTGGAAGCATCAAGTGGACTAGGAAACTAAGTAGACTAGACAGGCATTGTTTAAGCTTCATCTCTTTCATTCTTGGTGACTCATGAGTGAGATGTGCGTTGCTACAAGGGTCAGTCCCTTCCCTTTGACGATGCAAGTTGGAACCATATAGGGACAGATGTCTCTGCCAGAAGTTCCATGTGAGGCTGAAATTCGCGAAAAGAAAGATCACTGGACCTGGGAGTACCACATGAAAAACTATGGCCTGTTCCTCTTCCATCCACCGAGCCCGACTTCGTTGAATCCCACGTCTGCGCGCCCCCTGGTGCGTCATGTGAGCGGCCGCACGTTCCTCTCCAGCGAAGAGCGGCTGAAACGCGGCTGGCCGGGTGAACGGCCGCGGGTCACACGCGGAACGCAGGAGAAAGGGAGCTGACAGGTTGGGAAGCAAGAATGAAAGCATATTTCATGTCGCAACATCATGCGACATCATAACACCCCCCCCTCCAACCGCCCCCCCTTCAACATAACAGTGAAACATATGGAAACCACCCTGAAATCATCGGCAGAGGCTTCTCCCGTGTGACTCCGCTTTTGAACACCGGAACGCCGCGGTTCTCGGAACGTCGGACGGGTAGTGTGCATGGGTGGGGCCGATCTCTGTGCAGGCGACTGCTATGACCTGTGGCTTAGGGCTTATCCATTGGAGGTGACTTCTTTGGAAGTATACAGTTGGTCTATGACCCAAAAGTGAGGAAAGCTTGTCCTTTGAGGGAGACGGCTAAGACCTGGGACAATCCGACAGCGGCAGGTACCCGGTCAGACCTGTGTAGCGCTACATGCAGCCAGAATCTGCATGGGGACTGCTTAAGCTAGTGTCAAGGCAAAGCAGGCAGGTAGTGTCAGGACCTTTGGAGATCACAGACAGGTAGTTCCCGTAAGATCATGCTGTTTGTTCACGGTTGATACATCGGAATGGTTTCCCTAATTTTTGTTTGCCTTGAAACAGCCAGGTGAAGAAGGCCATGATGCTTACACGTGGATGGATGAGGCGCTCCTTGGTGCTGGCGTAATGGTATATATAATATATATATTCTATTTTGAGCGGGGGGGAGTGATTGCTGGTAGGTGACCAGCGATGGGGTTGTTGATTTTGGTAGTTGGTCGTGGTCGTAGCCCATCGTAGCCCCAATTAGGACCTTTACTTGAATCTCTCACAGAATGTTAGGAACAGCACCAGATGGCCAGTTCTCCCAGTTTAAGGGCCTCGAATGGAACCTATAAAGACCTACGAAAATAGCTGAAAGACAAACAGTACCCATATATATATATAATTATATAATATATATATAGTCAATCATAGTGAGTCGTCCATCATTTCCTGGAAAACTAAAGCTGCCATTGGCTTTTTCAGGATGGATCGTTGTCCTGGCCGGACAGGTCACCTTTGCACCGGGTCTCATTTTTCTCACACGGGAGACTTTTGGCTGAGTGGCTAGGGGGATCCAAGATGCTGGGGGGGATCGAAGGTCCTTCCACATATCTTTCAGTGAAAACACCTGAGAATGATGTCAGAGAATGAGTCCTACATCCTCAAGCCGGCATACGAAGTCTCCCTCCAACCCCCCAGAAACCACCATCCTGTGAGTCAGATGACGATTCTCAGTTCTCGCACTCTTTTGGTCTTCCAAGCACACTCTCTTCTGAAACAGCGAGGGATCCGTGGAGTCGATGAATCCATGGAGATCCCTGGAGTCGTCCGCGCGCGCGCACGGTGCGCGCGCGGACCTCTGTCAGGCCATCTCCGAGCGCGCCGTCCGGCGGGACGAGCGTTTGCAGGCGGGGAAATAGGACTTCAGAGCACGACGTTGGCGACTGGGGTCGTGCTCCTCTTCGCCAGCTTGGTGGATGTCCTTACCAGGTGTCAAGGCTCAAGAGGCTCAAGGTTTCTTAACACACACCTCAGATACCTCAGACAGGTGGAGGATAAGCCGAAACAATTTGAGGAAGATGTCTTCCTGTGGCTATTGTTCCTCCTCCACGAGGGTCTAAGCTGAGGAAGGTCCCCACTAGATGAATGTAGATGCCCCTGGCACCTGACCAAGTTAAGCTTATGAATTATATAGTTTGCATATGTTTGCATATAAACCTCTTCAACTAGAAGTGGTATACATATAATGAGCAA